CCCCCGGGCTGGGCTGGCCAGCAAGAGCCCTGGAGGCCGCGGCGGCAGTGCCCACCAGCTGGTGGGCCACTCACGTCCCAGCACAGAGGGTGGAAGGGCTGACTGGAGGGGGAGTCCCTTGAGTAAGGAACTCTGGGCAGCCGCGAATGCCCTGCCTGGCCTGGTCTGCCTTCAGGCCCTTCACGGACACTTTTACGGAGGCATGCCTGTGTACCCTTGGAGAGGGGGTTGTGGGGGGCCGGGAGAGGGGGCAGGACAGGAACCTGCCCGGCCTGGCTGGAGGTGCCCTAACCCCGTTCGGAGCATGGGAGATGGCTCCAGGTCTGGGGACGCTTCCACGGGAAATACACACTTCCTGCCTAATGGGAGGTGATGGGTTGTAAGAGCGTTCCTGCTAATTTGGAGGACCGACCTAACGCCAGCAGGAGCTGGGGAACATCTGAGTAGAAAGAGTGGGAACCCCACCAGGCAGTAGCTCCAGGGCCATTCCTGCCTGGGCCTGGGGTGCCTCTGCACAGAGACGGGAGGGAGGCCCAGGATGCAGCTGTCCCGCCCCCAGCAAGGGGGCTGGGCTGGACAGCTGTGTGGGGGCTCCTGGCCACCCCGCCAGGAGGGCACGCACCGTGGCCTCCCCGTTGTGCCGCGGGGCACACGAGGACAGGGTGGGTGGCAGTGCTCACACGTTGCCTGTTCCATGAGTATTTCTGAAGCGCTGACCATGTGCCAGGCCTGAGGGTCTGGGGGACACACCCGCTGGGGTCTCCACCATGTTGGAGGGGAGAAAGAAGAGGACAGAGCCCAGGAACAGGTCAAGGATCCAGACGGCGTCAGGCCGCCAGCTGTAGGCAGAACGAGACCAGGCCAAGCTGGAGGGCCGAGGCCGGCGGGGAGGGGCCTGGCGCGCGGGGGAGAGCCCGGCCAGGGGAACAGGGCCGAGGCCCGGGGGAGCACCGGAGGCAGACGGAGCCAGGGTGGAGGAGAGGATCCAGTCCCCGTGAGCAGTCTGGATGTCACCCTAAGTGCCCGGGACGTCTTCGGAAAGCTTCAGAGTGATGACTCTGTGACCTGAGCCACCCAGCACTGGGGGAGGGGACAAGGAGGAAGTGACAGAAAGTTCTGGAGTCTGGGCCAGCCGGTGGCGTGGGGTGCAGCGGAGCCGGATCCCACGGGCCACACCGTGTGGGCTGAAAGCCACTCCAGGCGCACATGTGTGTGCTCCCAAATCCCTGGAAGGGCATGGAGGAGAAAGGATTGCAGCCCCGCCAGGGCCTTGGGGGTGGTTTCTCACTTGCCCTGGGGGAGGTCTGGGTGGAGCCAGCAGCCTGAGCTGGGGCAGCCTGTGGGAGGGAACCGGGGGCACTGCTGGCCCCCCGACTCTGAGGAGCCCACCCCCAGGGCTTCCCACTCTGCGCTTTGGCTCCTCTGAGGGTATAAAAGCCACAGGCTGGGTATACTGCCTGCCGAGTGCCGCTGACTTACGGAAGGCTGCATGGAGAGGACCATTTTCCCCATTTCTCTTGTCAATCTCTCGTCGCTACCTCTCCTCCATGAAACCGGGAAAGACCCTGGGACCCTCTCCCTTAGCAAGAGCCTGGGTGCCCTTTCCTGGGAGCCCCGCCCCGCCACAAAGGCCTCTCTTCTTCTTCTCTTTTAAAATGAAATTTAGGAACCAGCAGTTAGCGTAATGGCTGTGTTGCTGGACTCCCATGTAGTTGACCTCAGTTTGAGTCCTGGACCCGGTGGCTTAAACTCACGCTGGGTACGTGTGCGTGCATGCCCAAGATCCCGAGAGGAGAATGGAGGAGAAGAGATTGCAGCGTGGCCATCCCCCCGGGGGGGGTGATTTCTCACTTTCTGTCTCTCTTTCTGGTGAGTGCATGTGCCCTATAACAAAAAAATACTCTAAAAAAAAGTATTATTATTATTTTTATTGCCAGAGGGTGCATCCTCTCACCAGAGAGAGAGAGAGAAAGCCCCCCTGCGCGCCCCCCAGAGCATGGCCACCCGCAGGCCCTTCTCCAGTTCCCATCTATCTGGATTTGGAGCACGCACACATGCACACATGTGCCCGGCGTGTTTTTCCAGTCTCCACGCCTCCAGGGCTGGGATCCGCACTGGCTGGCGGTGTGGGCTCTGGGTCCCGCACACAGGGCTGACTCCCGCACTGCAGGCCGGCCTTTCCTCCTCTTACACTCTGAGAGCCGGAAGGAGCGGGACTCTCCAAGGCACTGGTAGCTTGCCCATGATGGAGCTCATGGACAGACAGGAGGCTGACACCCCCAAACCACCAAGGATGCCAAGGGTCTGATGCGAGACCTCAGCCATGCCTAGAGGTGACCCTCCGGATCCAGGTGAGGGCAGTGATGGTGGCTCACCCTCACAGCCTCATTTTCTCACACACGTCTGAGGCCAGCAGACGAGGGCTCCTCACACCACCCATGGTCAGAGATGCAGGCGTCTTCTGTTTGTCTTTTGCTCCTTCTAGCATTGGCCTCTATCCCAAGGTCTCTTCATGGCCCAGAATGGCTGCAGGAGTTCCAGCCATCATGTCAGGCTGGAAGTCTGAGAGCAGTGGAAGAGCCAGGACGGTGCGGCTTCTCATTCTGGCCACGAAGCTTATGCACACTGCTTGCATCTCGTTGGCCAGAATTTAGTGCTTTGACCATACCTGGTGGTAAATGAGGCTGGGAAATGCAGTTCTTTTAAAAGTTTATTGATTTCTTCTGAGAGAGAATGAGACCCTCAACAGGGTGCCCAGACTGCGACCCTCCTCCAGGCTCAGATGGCCTGGACCA